GCTAAAAACAACAACAAAACAGGGCTCTTAACTCTTGTGGGCTTAGAAACACAATCTTGGCCAATATACAAGAATTGTAAGATGCACACACAAATACATGCATTAATGCATGACTGTTAACTTTATCAGGATGGTAATTTATTAACATACATTGAAGTGCCTGCCAACTTAATGGCATATTGGTTTTCCTGCTAGGTTTTTTTTTTTCCTTCCTGTAGAAAATTTACACAAGAAACTATCATGTTGCCTTGGAACTTTGAATCAACAAGAGAAATGAGGTATATAATGTGGTCACTTAATACTGTTAAACTGTGAGAAACCTCCATGGCAGAGCTTGGGCTGCTTCCTCTGACCTTTTGAGCTGTGTTTTCTGAGCTTCCATTCCTCTTTAATGGCAGAGTTCTGTGGATGGACTTTTTTGTCAGGACTGTTGACTCCCCAATAAGGACACGGAGACATTTATTAATTATGAACGCTCAGCCTTACCATAGGCTTGTTGCTAACTAGCTCTTATAACTTAAGTTAATCCTTCCTTTTTAATTACGTTCTTCCACACGCGTGTTACCTCATCTCCATTGTGACCATCCTGGTCATCCTGCATCTGACTGGCGACTCTACCTTCCCAGAGCTCTCTCTGTCCAGAAATCCTTGCTATACCTCCTGCCTAGTTATTGGCCATTTAGCTTTTTATTAAACCAATTGCACTGACATATCTTTACATGGTGTAATCAAACAGGGCTCTTGCAACAGAGCCCTTTGTTCAAACACATTCATATTGCAGTCTAGTTTCTGGGCCTCTGACTGTGAGCAGATTTTGCATACATACACACACTGGTTCACTATATAGTTGGCTCTTGAATGACAGGTGTTTTACATGTGTTTGCTTGAGACAGGACTTGATGTGTATCTTAGGTTGGCCTTAGGTGAGATCCCCAGCATCATCATCCTGAATGTACCTTGACATCTGGCAGAACAACATACTTGGGGGTGTTACTCACATTTTCGTGTCTGTGTCTGTGTGTTTGAATGTGTTTGATATGTGTATTTGTGTTTATGTACATATGGTTGCTTCTGTATGTGTGGCCATGGATGGATGTGGTACCAAGCTTTGAACCCATGGCCTTGTGCATGCTGGTGTTCAGCTCTTGCCTAGATTGTGGTTATTTTGTGGTACTGGGGGTTGAACCTAGGGTATCAACATTCTGTTGAAGTGCTCTACTACTGAGTGATGTTATCCCTAGCCCTCTTCTCTTTTCATTTTGAGACAGGTGTTTAGTTGTTCAGGCTGGCCTTGAGCTGGCTAGGTAGAGGCCAGCCTGGGCTATGTTAAAAACAATCTTAAGTGTATCAGACTAACTGTGATAATACTGTGGACTGTCACAGTTTCAGAGCCTACTCTGGTTGCTGTTGTGGTGGGCTGGCATGGGAATATCCACAGCACTGTTTTGGGAAGCCAAGCCCATCCAGCAAGCTTGTAGTCCCAGCTACCTGGGAGGCAGGGGGGTCTCTTGAGCCCAGAAGTTGGAGGCCCCATCATCAGTACACTTTATGATATTAATGATTTGCATTTGAACAGTCATTCTGTCTAGTAAATTCTATTTCACAGTAAAAACTGACCTCTTGCTATGTCATGAGGGAGAAAAATGTTTGCAATATATTGCATACATGTATGGCATTGTCCGAAATTTAAAACTTAAGACATGATCCCTCTAGTCTGCTTTCTACGTTGATAATATGTTGTATAGTACATAACAGTACATAGCCAACAAAGTAGGTGTTAATGAGGAACTGCCTGTTTATGCCATTGAGCTTCTGGTCAGTGACTAGTAGTATGTTGGGGTGGGGTACAGAAGTTACATGACATGGGGTTTGGTGCCCCTCACCCTGTGTTTAAGGATTAACTGTATAGTGATTTTTGCCCCTCCCCTAAATATCAAAAGATAATTTTTAGCAAATTTAGAGAAATGAGCTATCTTTTATTTGTGCTCATGAAGCAGGTAAAACTACAATACTGAGCGTGGCAGAACTGGAGTTTTTATGAAATGGCTTGAGTGCCAGCAAGGAAACAAAAGCAGGCTTGCTCAGCATCACATTCCTTCAGGTGTCACCCCATAAGGGTGGTAGCAGATGGGACCTCCTTATGCTGGCAAAACTGGCCTTTGTGGAGAATCATCTGATGTATTCTTCTCTTGGCTTAAGAGCTCATTTCTTTGAAAATACATGGTAATTAAGAATAAAAGTGTTGTAAAATGTTCAGTTAGAGAACTTTTGTGAACATAAGTTTTCAGCTCAGGGCTGATTCATACAGTGACCCTATGTTTAACTTTGTAAGAAACAGCTGCTGCCCACAGCAAATGAGAGTCTGTTGCTCCACATTGTTGGCAGGACAGTTATCTTAAGTTAGCCAGTCCCCAATGACACTGGGCCGTTTACTGTGCTGGCTTCTACCTTCCTGTCTTCTTTGGTGGGTATCTGAAGACCTTTGCTTACTTTTTAGTTGGACTGTATGTTGTTTAAAGAGTTCTTTTTTCTTGGGAGCCTGTTCTTGCAAATGTTTTCATCTCTGGCTTGTCTGTCTTCCATGTTCTTAAGGCTATCCTTTGTAAATGGTTTTAAATTTTAATGATATCCAGCTTAACAATGTTATCTTTCATACAATTGTGCTTTTAGTATTGTATCTAAAATGTTATCGTCATATCCAAAGTCAACTAGATTTTTTGTTATCTTCTATAAGTTTTAAAGTTTAGTGTTTTACATGGAAGTCTGTGATCCACCTTGAGCTAACTTTTTAAGAAAATTTAGTTTTTGCATTTAAATATATTTACTAAAGTTTCTACTGGGCCTGAACTTATTATTTAGGTCACCAAATAATAAAAGTAAAAATAAAAAGCAAAGTAAAACCCAATTTACCAACCCTTTATAGTTGTATGAAGTGTCATTCTTGGCAGAGAAGCTTGAGATCAGTCTCCAATTTATCTGAAACACTGGGGACACAGTTGTGTCAGGACATCCTTGTGTCATCTGTTGTTAACTGGCAGGTGGTTGTGTGCTGTCAGTCCAGGCTGCTGTGTTTTTACTTCCCTGCTTTGTCATGGAGGTTTGCAAAAATCTGCCTGTAGCCTCCCCATGTTGCCTAAGTAACAAACAGTTTTGCTCAAAATGTTTCCTTGGTGTTTCATCTTTTTACTAGCTGAAAAACTTGTCAATGTCAGACAAGTTGTGTGTTGGGGGGTGTGGTGTGCCCGTGCATGTGCGCTCTAGTGCATACATGTTGTACAAATGAATCATAACGCTTTGCTGTTAGACTTGAAATTTTAGATTTTAAGGCTTTACCAGTTTATTTTAATTCCTTAGCAGTATCGATTTCAAAGATTTCAGAATTGTTCAAAATTCTCCTTTCAGGCTGCTATCACAGGCACTAGTCTCAACACCATTCTCTTTCTTCATGTTACTTCCATCCACATGGCTAAATTAATAAACCACATTCACAACCATACAGTATCTTCTTTTGTGTGTGTGTCTTTGGTGTTTCCAAGTTAGTGTCTTTGACTATATGTCTAAATTTCCTGTTTCCCAAATATGTTAATGGAGACAATCTTTGAAAACAAAAATTGTTAAATCTGTGTTCTCTTTACCTTTCTGGAAAGATATGTTTACCAACTATAGCATATACATACAATCTAGAACAGATTTTTACAAATCTGTCTTACTGCTGCCTTTATTCTTATTTTCTTACCTACATGTTTACCCCGAGAGATAAGATTGAATTTTATATGGTTAAAAAATGTGTTACTTGCCTGTAATCCCAGCACCCAGGAAGCTGAGGCAAGATCGGGTTGTGAAGCAAGCCTGGACTGTGTAGCCAGAACTAGTCTCAAATGAATACACAAATGTCCAAGCAAAGCTTTAAAAACACCAGTAATAGTATGAGCTCTCTACAGTCTGCAATGGACAGTGTTAGTTTGTTGGCTCCCTTGGTTTTGTGTTATTTTTCCCAATGCAAAGGGAGAATTACATACAGCGTCTTTGTGTCCTTGGCACTGCAATGCTGTTGCTTTCTAACAATTTCACACAGATGGAATCTTAGGGTAACCATCATTTTCTAACTTGCTTTTCTCTCCACTCAGCAAGGGCTCTAGAGTTTGTCTATGTTGTTATTGTATAATTGGGTTTTAATTTTAGATGCTGTATAATGTTTCACTATATGAATTGAAAACAGTTTTACTTGCCAAGTTCTGATCAATATGTATGTATGTATATATTATGTATGTATGTGTTTTAGTTACAAGCGCCTTCCCAGAGTGTAGAGTATCTGTTCCCAGGCATGCCCATCCTCCCGAGCCTCTCCAGAGCTTAGCGTTGGCAGTCTTCTTTCTGAGACTTCCTGCCAATCTAATTAGTGAGCAATGCTCTTCTAGGTGTTACTTTCTTAATGTTAGTAATAAATAGGTTGACCTCTGAATTCCTAAGCTCCACCAATTCTCCTGCCTCAGCCTCCTAAATAGTTGGGAACTGCTTATTGCAGTTTTAGTGTGCATTTTCCTCATAAGTTGAGCTCCTACCTTCCTTCCTTCCTTCCTTCCTTCCTTCCTTTGTCTGTTTCTCTCTCTCTCTCTCTCTCTCTCTCTCTCTCTCTCTCTCTCTATCTCTCACTCTCTCTCTCTCTCTCTCTGTGTGTGTATTCATGCTTGCCTCTAATCCCTGTTCAGTACTTGTTTTTCGTCAATGGTAGTTCTGTTATATAAAAGGTTTAATAATTTTAACATGGATTTATCAGAATAGTTTTTCCCCTATTCCTTATAGTTTTCTCTCTTACTATTGAGCAGTTTCAATATGCAGTTCAGACAAGCCTTGAACTTATGATCTTCCTGCCTCAGCTCCAGAGCACTAAATGTACTACCAGGCTTGGCTCATTTTACTTAATTTTTAATTGTAGATTGTCTTATTAAAGGGATGTCTTCTTACTTAAAGTCAGAAACACATTCTTTCTTTTCTTCTAGAACATCTACTCATCCCTTGTCCATATGTGGGTAAGTCTTTTGAAATGTGTGTTTGTGTAGATATGTCTAATTTTACAGTATGGATAACATCTTATACTAGCATATGTTCTAAACAGCCATTTCTTTCCCCATAAAAATATTTTTCATGAGCACATTTCTGTATTTAGGAGTCTGTTTCTAGACTATTCTGTTCTGTGGGTTTCACAACAGTCTCACTAGTCTATTTTTATTTGGCATTATCCCTTCAGCTCCTATAGTTTTTGATCCTGTTGTATGTAAATATATTTTTTAGACAAGGTTTTGAATGTAGCCCAAGTTGACCTTTCAATTGGCAATTCTCTATCATGCCTCAGTTGGAGATTACAGGTATATGACATCATGTCCAGCTAAACTTTTTTTTTTTTTTTTTTTTTTTTTTTTTTTTTTGGAAGGGTTTTTTTTTGTAGCTTTAGAGTCTGTCCTGGAACCCACTCACAGAGATCTGCTTACCTCTGCCTCCCGAGTGCTAGGATTAAAAGTATGTGCCACCACAGCCAGACTAAACAAACATTCTTAAAATTATATTTTCTTAACAAATTCTCTAGTTTATCTTACAGTTTTTATGTAGACAGTCATATTTCATGCATTTAAAAATTATATTGATTCTTTTTACACACGCATACATGTTTCTATTTTATTTTTTTCCAGAAGTCTCAGTTCAGCATTAACTACTAATAGTATATATTAGACTCACCTGTAAGTAGTCAGTGGTGAAAGGCAGCTGTGCTCCCACTACACCTTGAATGCCACATCAACTTTCCAAGTGTCTGAATTAGGAGTCTCTTTACCTTGTTTAAATTAGAACTCAATTGATTTAGCTGTAATTTTTTAAATGTATTAGTGTGTGTGTGTGTGTGTGTGTGTGTGTGTGTGTGTGTGTATGATCAGTGCGTGTGAGTATGGCACATGTGTCCCAAGCATGTTTGAAGTCACAGGACAGCTTTAGAGAGGCTCTCTTCCCCGTGGTTTCCAGGACCACCTCAGATCGTCTGGCTAGGACAGTAAGCACTTTTAGCCTCTGTACTATTTCTCCATATATATATATATATATATATATATATATATATATATATAT